CCACCCGCCCCGCCCGCCCTGACCCAGTCCCTCCGCAGGCCTCCTCCTTCAGCAGCATCACGGACTCCACCATGTCCCTGAACATCATCACCGTCACGCTCAACATGGGTGAGGCCTGGGGGGCGCCCACACTGCCCTGGTACACGTGGGTGCCGGCGCCCGCTCACAAGCCCTCCCCGCAGAGCGGCACCACTTCCTGGGCATCAGCATCGTGGGCCAGAGCAACGACCGCGGCGACGGCGGCATCTACATCGGCTCCATCATGAAGGGCGGCGCGGTGGCCGCAGACGGCCGGATCGAGCCAGGGGACATGCTGCTGCAGGTGCGGGCCTGGGGCTGGGGTGGCCGCGCCCCAGCCCAGCACCACTGAGCCCCTCCCCCCCCAGGTGAACGACGTCAACTTTGAGAACATGAGCAACGACGACGCTGTGCGGGTGCTGCGCGAGATGGTGTCCCAGACAGGGTGAGGGGGCGCCCCAGAAGGGGCGGGGAGAGGGGGTACGTGAGGCGGCACCCGCGTGGGAAGGGGAGGGCGGGGCCCGGGCCTCCCCTGCGTGACGTGACCTGCCGTGCGCAGGCCCATCAGCCTCACTGTGGCCAAGTGCTGGGACCCGACACCCCGGAGCTACTTCACCATCCCAAGGGGTGAGTGACCCACGGGTCGGGGGTGGTGCGGGCCCACCCGGAGGGCCGCTGTTCTCACCCCTGGCCCCTGACTCCCCGCTGTCCGTCTGCCTGTCGCCGCGTGGTGGCTGCCAGCTGACCCGGTGCGGCCCATCGACCCTGCGGCCTGGCTGACCCACGCTGCGGCACTGACAGGCGCCGCCCCCCGCTGCGGGGCCAGCCCCTGCTCCAGCGCCCTCACGCGCACCAGCTCCTCCTCGCTGACCAGCTCTGTGCCTGGCGCTCCGCGTAAGTGGCCGCTCCCGGGGGCGGGGCCCAGGGCTGGCCAGAGGCTGCCTGGACGGGAGGCCCTGCCAGCCGCGGCGGCCACGGGCACCTGTCTGCTGGGCAGGATGCCCTGCTTCCTGCTGCCAGCACCGCGACTCGCCCTGGTGGGGGAGGGGAGGGGCTGGGAGGGGGCCCGGCTCTCTGGACCCCAGATTCCCCGACCTGCAGGCCCCTCCCAGTGGGGGCAGCCCCCTAGCCCCTGGCCGCACAACCCTGGCTCATGGCAGCAAGCACCCCGCGCTGGTGCCTCAGGCGGGGTCCAGGGCCGCCCCCACCCTCCTGCTGAGGGGCTGCACCTTGCAGAGCTGGAGGAGGCGCCGCTGACGGTGAAGAGTGACATGGGGGCCGTGGTCCGGGTCATGCAGCTGCCCGACTCCGGCCTGGAGATCAGGGACCGCATGTGGCTGAAGATCACCATCGCCA